TCCTGTTTGCGCCTGTGCGGAGGCGGTGCCGGGACCCCTGCTGCCTGCGGGCGGGTGGGCTGACAGCTGTGCCCCGCAGGCGCCGTGCTGCGCGAAGCTGTACGCGTGCCGGCTGTGCCACGACGGCGGCGAGGACCACCAGATGGACCGCTTCCAAGTGAAGGAGGTGCAATGCAGCTGGTGCCAGAAGATCCAGCAGGTGCGATACACGGGCCTCGTCCTCCGCCTCAAGCGCAGGCTTCCTCGAAGGTCCCGACGGCCTGGGGAGAGTGGGGTGCTTTAACGTGGCTTCGCCCGGCAAGGTGGGGAGGGGGCAGGTGGGGGTGCTGTCAGTAGAAGTTTCAGACCTCATGTGCCACACCCGTCCTGTTAGCAAGCGAGGCAGTTGCTCGGAGCCCCTGGTCCAGGTTGTGTACACACTTTGCTGCACGCATGATAAAACTAGGAGAGTAGAGCTGGCAGTCACCTCGAGAGCACGTCTAGTCCTGCCTACGGTTCACAGCAGGATCACCTCTAAACCAGTGGTTCACAACCTTCTTAGACTCAAGGCACCCCTTGGAAACCTCCAGCGCTTCATTCTGCTTTTTAATTTTTGACTACAGAAAAAGGATAAGAGCAATTCTTCTGTTGCAAACAACTCGGGACGACCCCAACAGATTGGAGTGCTTTTAGCACTGTGGAGTCCTATTTGAAATCTCTGGGTTTGTCTTGTTTGCCCACCTAACAGTGCTAACATTGCATGGCACCCCTGAAAGGATCTTAAGGCACCCCATGATACTGTGGCTGAGAATTGCTGATCTAAGCCATCCTAGATAAGTGTGCATCTAACCTCTTAAAATTGCATGAACTGTCCTCTTGCACAACTACAGGCATAATATCCTCTGCCCCTCCTCCCCACCCCCAAAATAAAACTAACAGACCAAACCACCAACAAAATTAACAGCTCCACACACTGTAACTGGAGAGCCAGATCTTCCTTCTCTGTCATCCTATCCCCTCCATAAATTTGTTCCTGCTCTTTAGTTCGTTTCATAATCTAGCTAGCTGTGAAGCTCTGCTTTATTTTCCTGCTGCCAAGCATAGTCCTTTTCAGTTTCTACTGGCTCTGGGCTTCAGAGCTCTTCTTGTGATCTGAAAGTGGTGGGGGTCTTCTTGCCTTTCAATAGTTGCTCTTCACATCTCACTGTAGGCATTACTACTCCTGGGTTATCCATGTCCAGTATTTTATACAATCTCTTGAAAACCTCCAGTGAAGGAGATTCCACAACTTGTTCAGGCAGTCATTTCCTCTCTCACTGTTTTAACAGTGAAGAAAAATTTCCTGATGTTGAATCATGGGCTGAAACTGCTATAACCAGGGTCTAGATCTGGAGAGATCTAACGAGCCCAAGTCTAAAACCAGGATTTTTCCATATCCTCAGTTGGCTGCTGACTGGCTCTTAGTTATCCAGTGTTTGGAAATATCTCAGGTTTTAGGGCTTGAATTCCCCTAGTGCCTAACTTTTGTTTTGGGGTACACGCATAACCTTCTGTACCTGATACTTGCTGAACAGCCAGGCATCTAACTATTGCTTAACTCCATCACCATCCACAAACTAGGCATTTTCCTGTCTGAGTTCCCCAAGTGGCTTAACCTATGATGCCTACTTCTGTTTTCTTTCAAATGATGGCTGCAACAGTAAGTGGTGATGTTTGTTCTCCCCTCTTCATCTCCTTTCTAAAACAAATAGTTAAAGCATGTGCCCAGTAAGTTGGAGACCTGCATGCATTTTCCTCCTCTGAGAGAGAGGATTCAAACTAACACCTCCCAGGAGAGTGATGTGAACACCAGGCAGTAAGAAGTTCTGGCATGGGAGCACTGTCACTTCCCCTTCTTGAAGCTTTTCCTTTGTGATCAGAAAGCACCAGCAGAACTCATACTCTGGGGGCTGCACCAGGGTGAGCTACAGGCCTTCTGGGTCATATGTTGTGTAGATGCCCTAGTGCACAGCACACCCATATGGGCACTCCCCCCACCCATTGCACCACGGCTGCTTGCAGATGTTAAAAACAAAAACAAAAATCTGTGCTTTACTGGAGAAGTAGCATGTTACGTCAACCCGGCTCTGCAGCGTCTGTATAGATTGGGTGCTTCAGTGGGACTTTTTGGTGCTTTTATCAAAAGCTGATTCAGTCAACTATTAGATAAAAGTGCCAAAAAAAGGCCCACTAAATTGCCTGATCTATACAAATGTTGGGCAAGCCAGGTCCAGCTAAGGCAATGCCTCTTCCAGGTGTGCATGGGGCTTGGCATTGGAAAATGCTGAGTTTAAAAAGAGCACCTTTTGGGTTTTTGTTTTTTTTTTCCAAATGTCTGTAAGGTAGCCTGTGTGTCTGTGGTCCCGGCCTCACATTCTGTTTCCTGCATAGCACTGCACTGCCCCATTCTTTGGGAGAGCAGCAAGAAGCAACTGATGGAGGAGGGTAGGAGAGCCAGTAGTTTTCAACTGCAGTTGCAGTTGGGCAGAACTGTTGGGTCTTGGCTTACCCCATGCAGCCCATGAGGGATTATGTGGGCCACCAGTTGGACAGCCCTGCTGTATAAAATGCTGTAATAGTCATTGGAATGGGAACCCTGCCTCCCCCCTTCTCTCTACCATTTATTAAATATAATAATTTTGACTTCCTTCTTCCCTATCCACTCAGTATTTTTAAATTAGATCTGCAAGAGGGATGGAGAATGCCCTTACCCCAGCCTAGTCTGCAGCCTGGTGACTAGAGTACTGGCCTGAGAGATAGTGGGGAGAGATTTGATTTGAATGTTCTTAGCAGAAGAAATTTGAATTTAGGTCTCCTACATCTTGGTTGAGTGACCTAACCGTCAAGTTATTAGGTAAAAGGAGAACAAATGTCCTTCCTACCTCCTGTGTCTTGAAAGAGAGAAGGGGATTTAGGTTTAGGGTTTTAAAAGAGAGAACTTGGGTAGTTGCCTTCAGAGGAGTTCTGAGCTATGGATTCCAAATTGGAGGAAGGCGCTTCACTGTAGCATGGAATAACATGCCATGGCCCCAGAAAGGCAGAGTTTGATGTGGTCCTATGCTCAGCTAGCTTAGATGGTTCCCTGCCAAAAAATGTTAGTGGTTGACTTCCATTCTGAGGTACAGAATTCCCCCCCATTCATTGCGTAGGGAGACTGTGCTTAGGGCTTAGGTCCCACACTGGTGGGTCACAATTTGTGTGTGCATTCAGCCTAAGTCCATTGGTTCTTGTATTTATAATGTGGGTGAGACCTTTGTGTCTCTTCTGTAGCTTCCAAGCACTTCATGTGTTCTTGAGTATAGAGCTCTCACCTAATACCATGGGGATGGGTGCTTTGCAAAATCACAGTAGATGCTAAAACCAGGTTTTGTCTTTGTTCTTCTGCTGCTTGCACTTCTGGAGCAGTGTAAGCACACTAGTAAGAAAACAGGAGGGGAAGTGTGGACTCAGACATGTGACCTCCTGTCTTGTGCCCACTCAAAGCTCAATTGCCTGACCAGGCACGGCAAACCTTACGTACTTTTCGAGGGGATGTACTGTGAGTTAGAGTTAAAAGACTAGTTCCCAAACTGTATGTAGCAGGTCTAAATACAGACTTATTTTAATACTGATTGTCTAGACTCTGAGCCTCTATACGAGTATCTTTTCTGTGGACAATGGTGAGGCAGGTTGCAAAACCATGTAAAATCCTCAAAGTGTAGGATTGGTCATGTGGGATAATAGTCCGTACTCACCAGTTCACTTGCAGTGAAAGCAGCTCAGTACTGGACAGAACTAAAATAATTCAATTCTCAGCCTAATGTTTAGAGTTTTTATTATTTGCATGTTTACTTGTAGGCTCAACAAAGTTGTGAAGACTGCAAGAATTTGTTTGGAGAATATTACTGCAGCATATGCCACCTATTTGACAAAGACAAGAAACAGTATCATTGTGAGAAGTGTGGAATTTGTAGGTACTGTATTTAAAATCATTCATAATTTTATCCACTGTTCCTCAGAAATGCCTCCAGGCCTTTATAGCAATTCTGCTTGGAGTGCCTTAAATGATAGCAACCTGGACACTTGCAGCATTTGAAGTGGACGTTATAAAGGAATGGTGTATAAGAATTCAACATGCTAGCAGGCAGCTGTGAGTAAAGAACATCTTCCTTGGAGACACCTATGTGATTCTCATTATTCATATGTAATCGTTTCCCCCCTGAATGTATAATGTACACACAGGTAAACATGAGTGACCTCTTATAGTATTTTCTGATTGCAGACTTATTTAAAAGCATACTGCTGTGTTTAAACATGCAGTTAAAATGTTTTTTTATAGGTCATAAACATTGTGATTTGTCTTTTGATGGTTAAAGTTAGCTTTCTTATATTAATAATGTGCAGGTTAATTAGGAGTACAGGGAAGGAGAATCCTTTCTGCTGAA